AGACTAAAAAAAATTTGAAAAAAAAATAGTCCAAATGAAAAAGATATATATTGAAGACAAAAAAGCCTAGAAGAAAAATTTAAGATAAAAAAGAAATTACGGTTATGAATTTTCAATATATATATATTTTATCTTTTTGGTCCTTGGTGTATTTTATTCCTTTTTATTTAGATACGTTTGGCCTTTTTCTTATTTTTATTTTTTTTTATTTTTTGGTCTATTTTATTCTAATATTCTTCTCAACTTTTTTTTATCTTGTGCCATCCCATTTATTAAAGATTTTCGTAAAAAAACTAGAAAAAAAATGAGAGAGAATAAATTTGAGATATAAAAAGTATAACATTTAAATATAAAAAAAGATCAAACATGTCTAAATAAAAGGTATAAATAGACCAAAAAAATAAATAAATAGACCAAGGACAAAAAAAACAAATATATTAAAAGTTCATAATTGTGATTTTTTTCTATTTTATTTTTTATCTTACTTTTTTCTTCTATTTTTTAGTCTTCAATATTTTTTTCATTTAGACTATTTTTTATTTTGGTCTTTTTTGTTACTGTTGAGATTTTTAATATTTTTGGTCTTATTTTTTCTTCTATTTTTTCTTTTCTTTTTTTTATACATTTATTTTGGACTCATTTGAATTTTTTTACTATTTTTGTAGTCTTTTATTCACCGTTATAATTTTTCATAATATTTGGTCTTTTTTATCACTTTATTTTCTTCTTCTAAAAATGATAGAATATGTATATTTAGTTAATTTTCCAACAGTATCACGGAGGAGTGTGAATAAAAATAACCACATGAAATTAAGTGATTTAAAAAAAGCACAAGGGTGTAAACGATTCAAAGCAATATCACAATGAGGTTTTTGGACTTTTCTGTTAATTTTTTAGACAATTTCAATTAAATCAAGAAAATATTCTTTTTGAATTTTCAATTCAAAACTAATTCTTAAAATATTACATCAATTAATCATTCCAATCATATTAGATTACATGCAAATTTATGCAATCTTAGATAAGATGCAACTTTAAAAATTCTATGCAATCTAATATGATTTAATCTATCATATTGCAATGTAATAATGGTAAGGCAATATATATATATATGAAAAGATTAAAAAATTTATCTCCTTTACATGAAATCTAAGAAATAAAAAATTCTATCCTACCAATCTTCTTGATTTTATAACAATTTTGTTTCATTCACTTTATAATAACTTATCACAAACTAAATCCTACAATAAACTTTAAAAAGAAACTGAATAAACATTGTTAAATAAAATTCAATAGTAGAAGAGGCATATGTAGAAGTAACTCATGCAATTTTCATGTCTCATGCATGTAATATCAATTTGTGTCATAATAATCTTGTGAGCTTGTAATTTTCCCCTTTTTATTTCAAATTTATCTTATTTTCTAAGTACTGTATCACTTGTTTGTTATCATCAAAATTAAACAAGTGTGAGGTCCAACAAAATGACAAATATCATTTCTTTTTTAAATTCTAAAACAAAAAACAAAGTAATATTTTCATAATTATTAGTCAAAATATATTATTTAAAAACGGAAAAAACTAAAAATTAAAGTAACACTTTTATAAATATTAGTAAAAATGTAATAATTAAAAGTAAAAATAATATACAAACTAAATGCACCATATCAGTTAAAGTTTTTTTTATTAAAAAATATACTAGCTTAACCTATACTCTAAGGAAAAAATATTTATCTTTTTAAAAGATATAATATTGTGTTATTTTAAATCTTAATAGTTGATTTCTGTCCATCAATTGTTATTATTTATTGGGTCAAATTTATTATTAATTAATTAATAAATTTGAATCAACAAATTATAATCATCAATTGATTAGGATATAAAATAACATAACATTATATAACGTTTTTGCCTTACTCTAATGACAATAAAGAGAGTCAACTGCAAAATCATAACGTTTCCACTTTTCAATCCTCGAAAAAGAACACGCAACTATGTTGAGTAAATTAGAGTTATTGGGGCGAAGAGAACAAATCTCAATAATATCGTTGATTACCACCAACCACGCTACAAAACAGCTCCACCCGAAGAACATGAAATGCATCATATAAACTAAAAGTTTAACTTTGATGCATGCATAAAATATGTTTTGATTTCGATATATAATTAAAATAATTTGATATTTATAGTAATTATTATTACAATTGGATTACTCATGTGTCAATAAATAATTAAATTAAATGATAATAGAAAATATTTCCTCATTAAAATTGTTACTGTTGATTTATGAATAAATGATTGATATATTTTATATGATATGATCATGTTAAAATTATACATTAGAGGAATCATTCCCAAAATAATTTTAGAATAATAACTTTTCCATAATTATCGTTTTACAAATTTAAAATATCAGGACTTGCTTAACTTAATTTAGAGAGCAAATATTTCTTCTAATTAAATGTGAATGTATAAAATGTAAATTAAAATCAAATTATATTTAAATTTTAGAATATATATATATATATATATATATATATATATATATATATATATATATATATATATATATCGAGAGAAATAGAAACAACTAAAAGAAAAATAGTAGATTATCTTAGCATAAAAGTGGAAGTAATATGTTACATATAAATTTAGAAATAAAATAAAAAAATTGTCATATAACTTACACACTTCAACCAATATATTTTTAAAATCATTTTCATTAGAATAATTGCAGAAAGTGAATCATGATATACTCAACCAATTCAATCAATGATAAAAATGGAATGACAAATTTTTTTTTATGAGTTTAATTTTAATATTATACAAATAAATTAAGCATTTTTATTATTATTTAAGAATGTGATATCATGTTATTAATAGTTGAGATTTTTTTTTTTAAATTTCTATATTGATTTTCATTTACCCTGCTGTCCAATTTGAGTTCAATCATATCCATATTAAATATTTAAACTTATCAAATTTTCAATCACATCATTATATATTAGTATAGAATTTTTTGCATTGATTAAGTATAATTATATAAAAAATTTATATGTATAAGTACAATTTTTTTTACGATAGTGAAAATAAAACATTTAAACATCTATTTTATTTTTCTTTATTTGTTTTATTTTTCTTCTTTTTATAATTTTAGAAATTTTTTGTTTAAATAACGTAAATGTTACATTAATGATTTGACGCGGTTGAAACGCATGAAGTAGGGGAGAATAAGTGAGATGGAATCCAAAATAAAAAATAGTTTTAATATTTTTCTCAAAAGATAAAAAAAAAATTGTTTATACAAATTACTAATTTACACGTGGTTGAAACGTTAGAAACATGGATGAAGTCATGAAGATTTAGAGGGAAATGTGGAGTATTTGGGCAGAGGGAAAAAGATACCAAAATGTAAGAAAGTTTTTTTCAATTTTCTTATTCTAAAATATCATTTTCTTGTTATAGTTCCTAATCCTACATAAATACAGATCCTACCAATTTTAAGACACTTCCCTCAACTTTCTCATGCAATTCTATTAAGCAAAATTGACCGAATGATCATATATTATATTTCTTCAACGGTCAAAGTCTTTTTTAAGACATTTCATTAATAATAAAAAGCAAAGGAGTAATAATATATTGTTAACACATTTTTAATATATTCTTATTATCAAATAAGTGTTATTAATAAAAAGATCATTTTAATTTTTACAAAATTAGGTAAAAAGAAGGGAAGAGAAGTCATTTATTAGTTTACCAAAAAAAAAAAAGTCATTCATTACATAACGAGTTATTAGTATCATATGATATACGATATGATTCATATTATACAATACGATTCAACAAGCATAATGATATGTATTATGAGGTATATCAGAAAGTGATTTGTATCGGATGATACGATACTATATCATACGATACGTATCATAAATCATATGATACGGAAATTAAAATTTGTTAATTTTAATATAAAAAAAGAAATAAAGATTTAATTTATAATTTAAATTAAAAAAATCTAAAAAATTATTATTAATAAGGAAAAGAAAGTAAAGATTTAATTTGTGATTTAAATTCAAAAATTAATCTAAAAAATCTGTATTAATAAAGGAAATAATTAAATAAATATTTTTAAATTACTTTTTATTATATTTCTATATCTTAGACAATTTACAATAAACGACCAAACAATACATCATACATATTGCGATTCAACAATCTTAATTTTTGTGATTTTCTAACATTATTTAGTGAAAAAAAGTTTCTGCCTTTACGGTATGTGTTGGCGGCATGGTAGTTAAAATTCCGATTTAAATCTTAGATTTTACGATTTTTTTCAATCAAAACGATTGTATCAAAATTTCAAACGCTTTTACGATTTTACGATTTTTCACGATTTTTCTTACATTAAGATGTTACGTTTTACGATTTTTTATTCCTTTTTCTGATTTTAGGTAAAATTCTGATTTTAACTATGGAATAAATTGTCTAAAACTGTAATAAAAGTTCCAACTCAGAAAGCACTGTACCCTTATCACACACCCAATATACACCCTTTAATTACTCACTCCTAGCTAGTTACTACATTCACAAATATTGTCAAAACGTTACCTATGTCCAAAAACCACTGATTCAAATAACATGGGGCCCACAAGCATGTAATGTTATGTTATGTTATGTGTCCAAACGATTTTGCATTCTTCTTGCTCATCAAACAACACAAAGTTTCAGTTTCTTAGTTCTCTGTCTTTCTCTTTCACTGGTTTCTTTCTACGCCGCGTCATATTCTGATTCTTTCCAAAAAAGCGAATTTTCTTTCCTTATTCCGTCTAAAAATTCTTTCTTTTTTTCCTTTTGGGGGAATCCTTATCAAGGGCAATGCTGTGTATGTGAATGATCAATAGTAGTTGCGTCCTCAAACTGATATTCTCTGTTCTCTGTGATTTTCTATTTTCCACCAACCCACATTATTTTCTTCTTCTTTCTCATCCGATTTTCTCGAGAAAACACAGCAGAGAGAAAAAAAATGGAGAAATTCCAACCGGGTTTTGGTCTTTGCCTTGTTCTGGTGTTTGCTATGATGTTTCATTGTGCTTGGTCTCAGGATGATGCTGTTGTCATGGGCACGTTAAAGAAAGCTATCAATGAACCCGATGGTCTCCAATGGTCAGACCCAGATGTATGTAAATGGAATCATGTTCAGTGCAATTCAATGAAAAGGGTCACTGCTATTCAAATTGCGAAGCTGAATATTCAAGGCTCTCTCCCAAAAGAACTGGTGCAACTCACCGAGTTGACACGTTTTGAGTGCATGAACAATGCTCTCACAGGGCCATTCCCTTACATGCCGAAGTCCTTGCAGAATCTGATTATCCATGACAACAATTTCAGTTCCATACCAAGTGATTTCTTCATCAAAATGACCAATTTGCAAGAGGTGAGAATCGACTATAACCCCTTCAATAAGTGGCAGGTTCCTTCTAGCCTCAAGGATTGTGTGGCTCTTCAGACTTTCTCCGCAATAAATTCTGGTTTGGTTGGGAAAATCCCAGAATTTTTTGGTAAAGATGGTCCCTTTCCAGGTTTGGTGTTTTTGGGCTTGTGTTTTAATTTTTTTGAAGGTGGATTGCCAGCAAGTTTTTCTGGGAGTTCTATAGAGAATCTTTTGGTGAATGGTCAGAATAGTGACTCTAAACTCAATGGTTCCCTTGCTGTCTTACAGAACATGACATCCCTAAAGCAAATTTGGGCACATGGTAATTCATTTACTGGTCCTATACCAGACTTGTCAAACCATGATCAACTTTTTGATGTTAGTTTGAGGGATAACCAGTTAACTGGTGTTGTTCCACCCTCTCTCACTTCTCTTTCGGGTCTGAAGGTTGTGAACTTAACCAATAATTATCTTCAAGGATCCCCTCCCAAGTTCCCATCTGGTGTGAGGGTTGATAATGATATGGAAAGGGGGAACAATCGTTTTTGCACAAAAGTGGTTGGTCAGCCATGTAGTCCACTTGTAAATGCTTTACTTTCTGTTGTTGAGCCTTTGGGTTATCCTTTCAAACTTGCTGATGGTTGGAAGGGTAATGACCCTTGTGCTACACAATGGATAGGGATTGTTTGCTCCGCCAGTGGTAACATTTCGGTTATCGACTTTCAGAGCATGGGATTCTCTGGCAATATTTCTCCTAGTTTTGCCAGACTCACATCTTTGACAAAGTTGATTCTTGCTAACAATGCTCTCACTGGTACCATACCAAGTGAACTTACTAGCATGCCTCTTTTGAAAGAGCTAGATGTTTCTAATAATAATTTATATGGCAAGGTACCATCTTTCCGTGCGGATGTGGCTGTTAAAACTGGTGGAAATCCTGATATTGGAAAGGATAAACCTCAAGCTGATTCTGGAGGTAGAGATAAGAAACGTAGTTATGGAGCCATTGTTGGCATTGTGTTGGGGGTTGTCTGTTTACTTGGTGTAGGGGTTCTGGTATTTGTAAAGTATGGTAGAAAACATAAGCATGCTGGCAAAGTTCAAATTCCAGTGGTACATCCTCGTCGCTCTGGAGATGGAAATAATTTGAAGATAAGTGTTGTGAGTCCTGGTTTTAGTGGAGGAGTTAGTCCACTTAGTTCAACAAGTAATGTTCAAAATGTGGAAGCTGGTAATATGGTGATTTCAATTCAAGTTCTGAGAGAAGTTACAAACAATTTCAGTGAAGGAAACATATTGGGGATGGGTGGTTTTGGCACTGTGTACAAAGGAGAGTTAAATGATGGAACAAAGATTGCAGTGAAAAGGATGGAATCTGGGGTGGTGGTTGAGAAGGGACTGAGAGAGTTTGAGTCTGAAATTGCAGTACTTACTAAGGTTCGACATAGGCATTTGGTTGCACTCTTGGGCCATTGCTTGGATGGAAATGAGAAGCTTCTTGTGTATGAGTACATGCCTCAGGGTCCACTTAGTAGACATTTGTTTGAGTGGAAAGATGAAGGGTTAAAGCCACTGGAATGGAAGAGAAGGCTTTCCATTGCCTTGGATGTTGCTAGAGGTGTTGAATATCTTCATGGTTTGGCTCAACAAATTTTTATCCATAGGGATCTAAAGCCATCAAATATCTTGCTTGGGGATGATATGCGTGCTAAAGTATCAGACTTTGGATTGGTTCGGCTTGCTCCAGAAGGACAAGCCTCATTCGAGACTAGACTTGCTGGAACTTTTGGATATCTAGCACCAGAGTACGCAGGTAGACATATTTGAATGATTTTTTTTGGAGATTTTGTTTTGCATATGGTTATTTATTTATTTTTATTTTGGAAAAAATATTTATTTGCTATGCTTGTGGATATTTTTTGTTTATGAAATTTTCTTATGCACCAATGGTAGATGATTTTAAGTGGGTCATGTGTAGGATGCACAGGGCATATAGAAAAAAAATGAAGGAATGAATCCTGCTAACTGTTGGCTCTTTTTGGGTTCCTAACTTAGTTTCAGCTGAACTTCTCTTTCTGGATATAGTGAATACTAGTTAAGCATAAAGAAATTGATTGCAACACTAGTATATTCTTTTTCTCAAATTTTTGCCTGGAAACAACTGTATTGAGCAAGTAAAGATGAAAGATTATTTATTAAATTTACTATGGGAATAAAAATTGAATTAAAAAGTTAATAAGGTTTGTGTCATTACATCCTACTAAAAGCCATTGGAATTTTTTGTCTGATTTGTAATCATCTGTAGTCAATTTGCATGCCTTGCCTTGTAATGTTGCCTCTAAGTTGACCTTTGATATTTAGTTTTAGTTGTTAAAAAGAATCACTCCCTTTGAATCCAGACTAGCGAGGGTGGAGTGAGAGCAATCCTTGTAGACAATTTTAACAGACTATTTTTCATATTCAAACTGGTGATTTTTGGATCACATAAGAAAAATTTCACCACTGACATATGCTCACCTTCTATTAAATTTTTAGTTGATTGGAAGAAATTTTTGGTGCTAGTTTGGCTCGTAAAAATGAGTGAACATGATTTAAATTGTTTGTGCTACGCATTGTCTATAACTCTATATATTGGTTGTTGGATATTATATTAAAACAAGATTCTCTAATGATCATTTGGATGTATAGTTACTTATTGACATTCTAGCATAGTGTTAATTTTGCTCCTTTCTTGTTCAATTCCCTTAACAGTCACTGGACGAGTTACAACAAAGGTTGATGTATACAGCTACGGGGTGATACTTATGGAGATGATAACTGGAAGGAAAGCAATTGACAATAGCCAACCAGAAGAGAACATGCACCTTGTTACATGGTTCCGTAGGATGTTACTGAACAAAAACTCATTTAGAAAGGTGATTGACCCAACAATTGATGTTGATGATGAGGAAGCCTTAGCAAGTTTTAGGACTGTTGCTGAGTTGGCAGGACACTGTTGTTCAAAGGAGCCTTATCAACGTCCTGATATGGGTCATGTAGTGAATGTGGTAGCACCTCTTGTTGAGATATGGAAGCCTTCAGAACCTAATGATGATGAAGTTTATGGGATTGACTTGGATGTGTCCTTACCTCAAGCACTCAGTGAGTGGCAAGCTTTTGAAGGAAGGAACACTTTTGATTTGTCATCTGATTCATCAATGCTTTCTAGTAATGCTGGCAATACACAATCAAGCATACCAACTAAGCCTCCTGGTCTTTCAACTTCCCTTACATCTTCTGATGGACGATGAAGTTTGATATAGTTTCTTATGATTTTACTTCTTCCTACCCCTTGGCTTGGAGCTCTTTTTAGATTTGAGTTTAATGGTCTTTTTTGTCTTTCTTCTTTTTGTTTTGGTTTGGTTTTTAAATTACATAGTATTTTTTTTTAGAGATTCTGGGATGCAAGAAGACACAGAGAGAGATGCAGAACAAAAGTTTGAACTTTCTAGTTTTCATACTTTTTTTTTAAGGATTTAGATATGATTATTGTTTTCTTTAGCCTTCATTGTAATGAACAAGAAAAACAGAGTTTAGCTATCCATTTTTAGTGATGAAATATTTTATTATATGGTGCAAATTATACTATTTTCCAATTTTATTTTCGAAATAAATTTCTAGGTATTGTTTCAGTCTTTCTTGACTACCTATAAAGCACCGACACTTCAAAAACTCTGACGTGTCGTGTCCGACACTCTCCGACGCTCCCCGACAAACCAACACGCGTTATAGAAATTCAAAAAAAAGTTCAAAGGTTGGTATTACGTTGAGTTTTTAGTTTCAACTATTAGATTTGATGGATTACGATTACCATTTTATTGAGTTTAATATAAATATTTGGGATATCTTATATTTTTTTGCAAAATTGATGAATATTATAAGTTTAGTTTCATTTTTTTGTTAAATTATTGAATATTAAATATAATAAACACTACATAAATTAAAAATATTATTTAATATAAAAATGTGTCCTAACGTGTAGAAATCTAATATTTTTTAGAATTTACGTGTCGGAGTGTCGTGTCGTATCGTGTCGTGTCTCGTGTCAGTATCAGTGCTACATAGTTGACTACTGTTTTAATTTGATTTGATTTTTAATAGGATGGAGATCATTTTCTTTTGGTATTAATTATTCAATTAAGCCAGATAGTAGGCTACCCCCACACTTTGGAAGTATCCCCGCACCTTGTGATGAAAAATTAGTGAATGAAAGCTAGAATTTGATTCCTCTAAAGTGAGGGTTGCATTTTACATAAAAAAAAAAAAGTGGAGTTATAATTATTAATTTAAAAATTTAAAAATATATTTTTACAACTTTATGATTTTTTTATATATAGATTGGATTAATCTTTGTACTGGCTATTCTTAATTCTCTGATCTCTTGAAAATATTTGTTCTACATCAAAAAAAGAAATGACCCCCGAATTATTTCGAATTTTGAGGCACATTCTCTGATCTCTTGAAAATATTTGTTCTACATCAAAAAAGAAATGACCCCCGAATTCTTTCGAATTTAGAGGCGCATTAAAGTGGAATATAAGTCCCAAAAAAAAAATCATAATTTTAACTATTGATTTTTAAAGCAATCATTGTAATATATATATATATATATATATATATATATATATATATATATGAATTTTATAATTCTCATATTATATGAGAATTAAAATTTTATGTTGTAGAGACAAAAAATATGTGAGATCCATATATTAAAAAAAAAGTATACGTAGAACCCACATCAGTATGAAAATCGAAGGGTATGTGAAAGATTTTAATTCTCATGTTGAATGAGAATTATAAAATCCTATATATTTATATGCTTTAATATTTTTCTATCATTAGAGATAAAGTTATTTGCCGTTACTTCAAAACAACGTCATTTTTGTATTGAGAAGAAAAACTATAATAAAAAAAACTAAAATATTTCCAAAATAAATTAAAACTATAAAAATATTTTTCTCCTAATCTCAAAAATTAATATAGCCTCAGAATAAGAAGAGACATCATATTTTGCATTTGAAAAATTATATTATACAAATTTGAAGAAAATAAATAAATGTTTAAAATAACAACATAGAGTGGGTTAGGATAAATCTCTAGAATAATTTTGCAGAAAGTCATATTTTTCATTCTCAACTTAAAAGAAAATTAGGATTTTGAAATAGGTTGTTGTTACGTATAATATTAATTGTGATCGTCCCAGCATTTTTTTTATGAAAAAACATTTTTATATTAAAACATGAAGATTTTTGCCAAAAATATATATTTGTTTGTAGGATGTACTTATACTGATGTAAAATGATAAATCTTACACTTAATCTTAATTAGTGATTTTTGTAAATCTAATATTTGTAATTTATTAAAAATTAATAATTAATTAATAAGAATAATTCAATCAATTACAGTCATTTAGTTGACGAAAATCAATAATTAAAATTGAGTGTAAGATTTATTATTTTTACACTTATATAAGTTGATCATATTTCATTGAAGAAATATGTCCTTTAATTCAAATGATAATTTTTTATAATAAATTGGAATATTTTCTTTTTTGTATTTATAAAAGTTTTAGTTGATCCTGTCCCGTTAAAGAAATATGTCCTTTAAATCAAATGATAATTTTTTATAATCAATTGAAATATTTTCTTTTTTGTATTTTTAAAAGTTTTTAATCAAAGCTTTAACTAAATATTTTTTATCATAAATATTTTTAAAAACAATAAAATAATTATTATAAACAGAGTAACACATTAATAATATTAAATCATCTTGAGTTGAAAAAAAAACTTGATAAGAACGTTTTAGATAGAAATAAAAATTATCCGTCATTTTCTTGTTCTAATCATGTTATGTACAAAAAATAGTAGGTACAATTATTTAATGAGATTTTCTTTTCTTATGTTTCATGAGGTAATATGATGCCGAAAAAGCGTATAAAAAAGGTGGCTGAATAGAAAGTTAGGATTTCACAAACGAATAATCATCTAGTTTTTAATTATAATTATCAACATAATAAAATTTAACTCCTAAAATAGGGTCTTAAGCACCCTTTTATAGACTAATTGCAAATTCATTCAAAATATAAAATCCTAAAAATAAGAAAACTTCCTAAAATAAATATAACAATAATTGACTTCTAAAAATAAATAAATAATTACAGTTAAATCATTCAAAATACGTCCCAAATCTTAAATCTCAAATCATGTCAAATGTGTTGCTTTTCTTTTCTTATCAAACAAATTACAATCATATATGTTGTTTCATTTGGATTTGAATTTGATCGTAATTTGTTATATTTTAAATTACTGCTTCTTTTAATAATTGAGTCATACTTATTGAGCCACAATTTTGGTTGATAGCTTCTTGAATCAATAGTTGGGACATGTGCAATGAGTCAATTGTAAATAGGGGTGTAAATGGGCCGGGCTTTGGCCTTCCTGATCTAAGCCTACGTAAAAAAATATTCAGCCTATCTGGTCTATTGGCCTACTAAAGGCTTTATTTATAGGCCAAGTCTAGCCTATTTTTAAAAATTAGAGAGCCTTATATGGCCTACAGGCCTTGTAGGCCTCTCTAGTGATATGTTTTTAAATATTTTTAAAAATATTTTTAACAATTTTTAAAATATTCCCTTGACATTACAAGGCATTAATATGTTCATAAATTGCTGTATTTTTTTACATGAGATATAAATTTCACTAGTGGGCATTAAATAAAGCCACCTAAAATAAATATATTATTTTATTTTATTTTAAAGAATTAAATAGGCCAGCCTACAAGGCTTTAGGCCAGACTTGATAAAATTGGTTTGTTAAAAAGGTTTTCTTATTAGCTTAAGCCTACTCTACTTTTCAACGTAGGCCGGGCTAGGCCAGACTCAACGTAGGCCGAGATGTAGGACATGTCAGGCCAGCCTTATCCATTTACACCCCTAATTGTAAGTGTATCATAATATCTCTTATGTCCTGGACACAATAAGTGATGATGCCTATCACTTGTTAAAAGAAAAATAGTTTTTGATGCCTTATAACATGAAAAAATTATCTCCTATTACTATTATATGAGAAAATGATTTTTCTTATTTAGGTGGTGTTTGGTTGAGGGAGTTTTCAAACTTTCCTATGCAAATGAAGGAAGGAATCCAGAAATCATTTGTTTGGTTGAACAGATTTAGTCTAAATACCCAGCTATCCTATTTGCATTGCATTTTCAATTTGCTGATCGAATGATAGGTTTCGTCACTGTTTATAAAGAATTGTTGGAGGTGATTTTTATGTAAAAACCGGCTAAATCACTGTGTAGACAAATTCTTGGAGACCATTATACCCTCTCAAAAAAGGAGATTTTCTTCTTGTGTGGTGTGGTCAGCAGCTGGCGTGAGTAGACCATTGCATTTCTTCTTGCAGACCATTAACACTTTGCTTTATGTCATGTAAAACGTTGATTCTGCTCTATCAAATGGAAAGAAAAAGAAAAAGAAAAAAAGCTGATTGAGTTATTGTAAATTTGGAGGTGAGAATGACAATGTGATAAGCCAGATTTCGAAACTGGTGAAGGAGATTACGTTCCCTGGGTCTGCTGAAGATGTTGATAGGCTAATAAGAAACCAGAAGAACTCATACTTTGTGAGTGCTAGGCCTCAGCAGGAGGAGGAGGGAAAGCAGAGAAGGAGCCTTCCACTGTCTTCAATTTTGGGTGCTTTTTACTGAGTAACTAATAATATGTAATGTGTGTATGCTGTAAGAGCTCCTAGTGAGCGAGGAAATAATCATGCTCTTGTACCTTTCTACTACGAATAAATAAAGCAAGCATCAAAGTTTTGTGTTCCCTTCTCAACTATATCTGCTTAGCTCATTTGATATGGTTATAGACTTATGGTATCCATATATGTTGCGGTAGTTTACCGTGAAACTAAATTATCACTGTTCAGCAATTGCACATCCTAAACCAAACTATACAATTAAAACTAACGCTCATGATTAAAAAGGCACACAAAAAGGAATAACTAAATCAATGGAAAATAAGGATATTTTGGTAATTGTCACTTATTTTCTCATCTATATTTTACCTCAAATCAAACATAGACTTTATAAATTTTATCTAATTTGCCCGGAAATTTTTTTTCCAACCAAACAACTTTTTTTACATTTTCCTACCAAATCTACTTTCTAATCATTTCCCTATCAATTATATTTCTCTACTGTTCAAAAAATTTCTCCTCAACCAAACACCTCCTTAATATTCGGCTACGGCTTTGGTGTTTTTCGCTGTCTTGCACCTTAGTCAAAGTCAAAATGAAATTGAACTTTCCAGAACATTTTTCTTGACCACACAAATCAGTTTCTTTGATCTTAAAAAGTTGAAAACCTTATAACAAAAAAATAAATAAATAAAATCAAAATAATTTCGGAACAGTCCAACAATATGAGTACATTTTTTTTTATTTTTTTTTGAAAGCCAACAATATGAGTACTTCGCTAACTATTTGCAGATAATAACAATGTCCAGTT